CACCTCCATCCTCACCATTACTGTCTCCCAGGACAGCACCTCCAGCTTCACCATTACTGTCTCCCAGGACATCACCTCCATCCTCACCATTACTGCCTTCCAGGACAGCACCTACATCCTCACCATTACTGCCTCCCAGGACAGCACCTCCATCCTCACCATTACTGTCTACCAGGACAGCACCTCCAGCTTCACCATTACTGTCTCCCAGGACAGCACCTCCATCCTCACCATTACTGTCTCCCAGGACAGCACCTCCATCCTCACCATTACTGTCTACCAGGACAGCACCTCCAGCTTCACCATTGCTGTCTACCAGGACAGCACCTCCATCTTCACCATTACTGTCTCCCAGGACAGCACCTCCAGCTTCACCATTACTGTCTACCAGGACAGCACCTCCATTTATTTATATTTATTTATTTAGAAATTTTAGCATACATACAGAGGTACAAAAAAAAAAAAATACAGGTAAGAGCAGCATGCCAAAGCCACTTATATGCATAGCATTACGGGCTGGCTTAAAATTAACTTAAGATTAACTAAGCAATGATGAAATCAGTGATAAGACATTATTGTAAACAGATAACTATAAAGCACAAATGAGTATTACAAAGACAGGTCATATGGTTGCATGCATTGCTGTTCATTCAGTAGAATGGAGTATTCTGTTAGGTAGTGTATTTAAAAAAATAACAAAGTTAGATTGGGTCCTAGGTTTAACATTTATGTGATATAATTGTGAGTAACAAATTTGGATATACAATTTATAAGGTTCAGTTATTCAGTATTTATTTGGTTTTGAGTGAGTAAGTGAACTTTGAGAAGAACTTGAATTTATAAACAGGTAGTGTTTCTTTTATATTTACAGGTAAATGAATTCCAGATTTTAGGGCCTTTATGTGCATTGAGTTTTTGCATAGCGTGAGATGGACACGAGGAACATCAAAGAGTGATCTGTGCCTTGTGTTTATGGTCATGTGTTCTGTTGAGGTTGGGAAGGAGATGTTTGAGGGAGGGTTAATATCAGAGCTAAGTGTTCTATGTATGTAATAGGTGCAATAATAAGTATGGATGTTTTGTATGGTGAGTAGGTTGAGTGTTTTTGAATATTGGTGGAGTGTGTTGCCTGTAGTGAGAATTTGTTATCATTCTAACTGCAGCCTTTGTTGGGTAATTAGTGGTCTGATATGGTTAATTGTTGTTGAGCCCCATGCACAAATTCCATAGTGGAGATAGGGGTAAATATGAGAGTGATAAAGGGCCAGGAGGGCTGACTGTGGAACATAGTACCGTATCTTCGATAGTATGCCTACAGTCTTGGAAATTTTCTTAGAAATTTGTTGTACATGTGTATGAAATTTGAGTCTATTATCGAGGTGGATTCCTAAGAACTTTCCCTCTGTTAGCTTTGTGATAGGTGATCCGTTTATCGTTATGTAAGAGGTACATCTGTAGCTCTGTTACCAAACTGAATGAAGTAGGTTTTGTCAATGTTTAGTGTAAGTTTGTTAGTCCTCATCCAGGTAGATATTTTCTGTAATTCGGTGTTTACAGTATTGGCTAGTGTGACTGGGCTCGGGTGAGAGAAGACGTATGTAGTGTCATCTGCAAAAAGTGTGGGTTTGAGTAATTGCGAAGCATTTGGTAGGTCATTTTATGTATAGGAGAAAGAGAAGAGGGCCAAGGACACTTCCCTGTGGGACACCAATTGTAATTGGTTGTGCGGAAGAGCTTGCCCCATTTGCGTACACATATTGGCTTCTGTTGCTGAGGTAAGACTTGAGGTAGTTGAGGGAGTGCCCTCTAATACCATAGTGTGACAATTTTACGTGGAGCAAGTCATGGTCAACTGTATCAAAAGCTTTACGTAAGTCAATGAAGATCCCCAGTGGGACTTCTTTTTTCTCTATTGCAGTGTATATATGTTCTAGCATGTGTATAATAGCATCATTAGTATTTTTATTAGGCCTGAATCCAAATTGGCAGGGGTTGAGAATGTTTTGGGAGATGAGGTAGGAGTAGATTCGTTTATGAATTAATTTTTCGAAGATTTTTGAGAGAGGGTGTAAATTGGATATTGGCCTATAGTTATTCAACTCTGGTCTCCTCCTTTATGGATCAGGGTGACCCTTGCTATTTTGAGAACTGTAGGGAAGGTGGAGGATTCAATGGATTTGTTAAAGAGTGTTGCAATGATTGGTGATAGTACTTGTGACGCTTTTTTGTATATAAAGGGTGTTAGGTAAGACACATATGCAACAGTTAGACAACTTTATTCCGAAACGTTTCGCCTACACAGTAGGCTTCTTCAGTCGAATACAGAAAATTCGACTGAAGAACCTACTGTGTGGGCGAAACTTTCGGAAAAAATTTGTCTAACGTTGCTATGTGTTTACCTAACAACCTGTGGGGTTTGTATACCTTTTTGGGATGTTCATATAAAGGGTGGAAAGGTTTTTAAAATCTCCTCCCTTTTTTTTCAGTGGTTTGAAATAAGGGGATTCGTAGGGGTTAGTGGGAGTAGGAAACATGTGTTGGGTAGTTGCCATGAGGTATTCTTTGGGGGGTTTGAGTTGGGGATTTTTTTGGGAAAGGGTTTTTTGCCTTAGTAGAAGAAATCATTGAGTCTGTTTGCTGTTTCTTTGGTGGGATTTGGGGTTTTATTTTGAAATTTTTATTTGCATTCGTGATTCTTTTTTTTCCCCAAATTTTTCTGATGGGGTTTTCCCGGGCTTTTTTATATCCCCCTCGTAATTTGGGAAAATTGTTCTCATAAACAATTTTTTTTCCCTTTATCGGCGGGTTAGGATTGACGATAACGTTTTTTTTGGTCTTGTTATGTCCCCATTCTGACTGTTTTTTTCATATCGGTTTTTTGTTTTTTAATGGTTTTGGAAGGGGGTATTACCAGGGGACTGTTCAGTTCCTTTTAGCTTCATTGTTATTTTTTTTTGGGGCAGTGCGTTAAAAAGGGTATTGGGTTTTTTTTTAAAAAAATTTTAAAAAAAACATTCGTCAATATCTGTATAATTTCTAGTCTGGCCAGTCAATGTTTGTTATTTGTTGTGAATTTTTAAGGTGTTTGTGAATCTGAAGGTTTTTAGAGTGTCTTGGGGGTATTTTCCAAAGTTTTATGGGGAAGTAGGTAGTGTCTGGGGATTATTGTAATTATGCCTTTTTTTAAAGGGGATTGGTGTTGGGCCCAATTGGTAATAGGGAAACATATCTCTGAAACTCTTGTGGGTTTTTTTTATTTGGTGAAACATGCATTACTACCATTACTGTCTCCGGGACACCCTCCTCCCCTCCCCATTATGTCTCCCAGGACACACCTCCACCCTCACCTTTAGTCTACCAGGACACACCTCCAGCTTCACCATTGCTGCTACCAGGACAGAACCTCCATCCCCCCTTACTGCCCCCAGGACAGCACCCCCCTCCTCACCATTACGTCCCCAGGACAACCCCCTCCCACCTTTCTGTTCCCAGTAAGCACCTCCATCCCCCCATTTTTTTTCCCCCCGGGACAGCACCCCATCCTCACCTTTACTGTCTCCCGGGGCCCCGCATCTCCATCCTCACCTTACTGTCTCCCGGACAGACCTCCATCCTCCCCATTACGTCTCCCAGTACAGCACCTCCAGTTTCCCTTTTACTGCTCCCAGGACAGCACCCCACTTCACCAAATTACGGGTCTCCCAGGACATACCTCCATCCCACCATTCTGTCTCCCAGGCAGCACCTCCTCCCACCATTACTGTTCCCAGGACACACTCCATTACCATTACTGTTCCCAGGACATCACCTCCATCCTCCCCATTACGTCTCCAGGACAGCACCCCCTCCCACTTACTGTCTCCCAGGACAGCACCCCCCATCCTCACCATTACTGTCCCCCAGTACAGCACCCCACCTCCCCATTACTGTCTCCCGGGCATCACCTCCATCCTCAAATTACTGTCTCCCGGGACAGCACCCCCACCTCCCCATTACTGTCTCCCAGGACAGCACCCCCACTTCACCATTACGTCCCCCGGGACATCACCCCCATCCTCCCATTACTGTCCCCCCAGGACAGCACCTCATCCTCACCATTACTTTTCCCCCGGGGACACACCTCCACTTCACCATTACTGTCTCCAGGCAGCACCTCCACCTCACCATTACTGTCCCCCAGACGCACCTCCCCTCCCCATTCTTTTCCCCCAACAGCACCTCCAGCTTCACCATTACTGTTCCAGGAACATCACCTCACCATTACTGTCTCCCGGGACAGCACCTCCACCCTCACCATTACTGTCCCCAGACAGCACCCCCATCCTCACCATTACTGTCTCCCAGGACAGCCCCTCCAGCTTCACCATACTGCTAAGGACAGCACCTCCATCCTCCCCATTACTGCCCCCAGGACAGAAACCTCCAGCTTCACCATTACTGTCTTCCCGGACAGCACCTCCATCCTCACCATTCTGTTCCCAGGACAGCACCTCCAGCTTCACCTTACTGTCTCCCAGGACAGCCTATCAGCCCCAATTTATTGACTCCCGGGCACACCTCCAGCCTTAAGTTTCGATACAGGCCGCATCAAGGGCGATACCACCAGCCCAACTTTTTATTTTCCCATCGTTGTAGAATGCTTCCATTTTTCTATGAAGGCTGTTTTGTGTTATCCTTTTTTAATCCCAATTGTTTTTGTCCACAAATTTATCTCATTTGGGAAACCCCAAAAAACACCTCCCTGATTTTAATACGTTTGTAGATAGTTCTTTTGGGTTCTGCACAAGGGGCTGACACCAAATTTTTCCCAAAAAAAACAATTTATCCCATGTGGAAGCTCGTTTGTTTGATGTCCGCAGACTACACAAGCTTCATAATGTGATTTGATGGTTGATTTACTGTAATTTTACGTAACCTCTTGAATTTATATAACCTCCTTAAAGTGAAGCTCTAGCTATTTATTTTTGTTTCTAACTGTACTTTAAATTTTTACAGCTTACCCGTGTACGTTCCCGTTTTTTATTTTTTGTTTTTGTTTGAAAGGGACCCAAAACCCCCTCTGTTTGCAGTTGCTTTATTGTCCCAAAGAAACCTTTGAAACCGGTCAAAAGGGTTCGGCCAGTCAAGGGTTCGGAAACCCTCGATCTATCAGTAGGACTTAATTAAAAAAAAATCTGGCCGGGGATTTGGGCTGACACTGAAGGGAAATACCGGAAAATTTTTAACGAGTAATATGAGATTAGATTTATACAAAAATATAACTTGCGCGTTGAAGAAAAAGGGTTGTGTCAGCACTACAATAACGAAAGGTCCCCAGACCCACCTTTTTTTACAGCCTGAAGGATTATAGATCACTTTATCAGCTTTTAGTTTTTTTTTCCCTCTCCACCACAACAAATTTGTTTCCCTTCCAGGGGCTCCACCACCCCCCCTCCGATAAAACTTCTCCATGTGTGTGTGTACTCACCTATTTGTACTCACCTATTTGTGGTTGCAGGGGTCGAGTCTTAGCTCCTGGCCTCGCCTCTTCACTGGTTGCTACTGGGTTCTCTCTCTCCCTGCTCCATGAGCTTTATCAAACCTCGTCTTGAAACTATGTATGGTTCCCACCTCCACTATGTCACTTTCTAGGCTATTCCACAGCCTGACAACTCTATAACTGAAGAAATACTTCCTAACATCCCTTCTTCAACTTCCAATTGTGACCTCTTGTTTCTGTGTCCCCTCCTTGGAACATCCTGTCTTTGTCCACCCTGTCTATTCCACGCAGTATTTTATATGTCGTTATCATGTCTCCCCTGACCCTCCTGTCCTCCAGTGTCGTCAGGCCGATTTCCCTTAACCTTTCTTCATAGGACATTCCCCTTAGCTCTGGAACTAACCTTGTCGCAAACCTTTGCACTTTCTCTAATTTCTTGACATGCTTCATCAAGTGCGGGTTCCAAACAGGTGCTGCATACTCAAGTATGGGCTGGACATACATGGTGTACAGTGTCTTGAACGATTCCTTACTAAGGTATCGGAACGCTGTTCTCAGGTTTGCCAGGCTCCCATATGCTGCAGCAGTTATCTGGTTGATGTGTGCTTCCGGAGAGAGAGAGAGGGTAGAAAGAGGGAGAGAGAGGAGAGAGAAAGGGTAGAAAGAGGGAGCGTGTGTGTGTGTGTGTGTGTGTGTGTGTGTGTGTGTGTGTGTGTGTGTGTGTGTGTGTGTGTGTGTGTGTGTGTGTGTGTGATTATGTGTGTGTGTGTATGAATTTGTATGTGTGTGTGTGTGTGTGTGTGTGAGAGAGAGACTCAGCAATCAACATTTGCACCAATAACTCACTACAGTTGTGACCGGGTGTGGAAGTGTGAATTGCTCATTACTCTAAAATTTGTTCATGATTGCAGCCATGTATACACGTAAGTAACCATTCTTACAGTATTCATTACCTTTGTAACTTGTGAGTTCATTACCTTTGTAACTTGTGAGTTCATTACCTTGTACCTAGTTCAGCCATCAAAACTTTGGAGCCCGGTCCCTGGACCCATTGTGTACATCTGTAATCTGTAAATACCTTTGTAACTTGTCATGATTGTGACTAGACCTACCTGGAGTTCATTACCTTTGTAAATTGTGAGTTCATTACCTTTGTAAATTGTGAATTCATTACCTCTGTAACTTGCTCAGCTATCAAAACTTTGAGGCCCAGTCCCTGGACCCATTATGTACCTCTGTAATCTTTTGACTACCGCCCACTGGATGGGTATGGGGTGCATAATAAACATATTAAACTAACTTGATCATTCACTCTCGTTTTATAGGTCTTAAATGTAGTACACATACAGTAGAACACTTATCATTATATTGAATTAACCTTCCTTTCTGATCAGCGAGCTTAATACTCACTTGATCAATTATCTTTTTATTAAGTGGTTTGTACATTGTGGGATCATAATTAGATCTTAATGTATTAATATCAACTACTCCCAAAAGATACCAACTGATCGCCAAAATTAATGGGATCAATCAAATCACTATATATTAACATATAATTAATACCTGATTCAGGATCGGGTGGGTTTACCGCCTTTACACCAAACTGGTTAAAAATAATCTCTTTTTTATTGGTAAAGACATACAAAATTTCATTACCTGAGAACCCTAACATATCGCTTCCTTCTTTATCAAATTCCAACCCCACACAACCGCTAGTAATATCAGAAGGTAGTATAATTTTTTTTTTCAAGTTAATAACCACTCTGTTTATTCCTGGATGATATGTGAACATAATTGAATTTTTGGGGATGATAATACCCGTTATCTTCTTAACTGCTCTTATCAGATTTTCATTAATATCCTCATTTATTGCCTCTAAAATCCTTGTCATATCACCTCCAATAATTTTGCTCATATCAATTTTATGGATATATTTATTTAATGTAGATTTCTCATATTTAATACATATGTTCAAATTCTTTTGTGGTATATAATGTGTCTTGGGGAAAATTATATTTTTCAGAGCAACCTCATAATCAATTTTATTATCTAATATAATAGGATCATATAATTTATTAATGAAAGCTGAAGGTGTATTGGCGGGAAATAAATCAAGACTGGAATCACTACAGACGTATAGAAGACGTTCAGCCATCTCTACACTCTTATAACACACACTGAGTAAAAACATAACATCACAGAGTTTATATACTCACCTAATATGTTATCCACGATGATTCCTCTCTCCTTACACCGCCTCCTTTATGTAATAATTGTCTTCTCACTTTTGTATTCCTCACAAAATCAAAAGTATACTGTTTATTTAAAATGTTATTTCTGAAAAGTAATCAGAAGTTCTTCTCGCTGTTTTTCACATTGTTTTCGATAAAACTTTTTAATATTTCATAATATTATCCAGTAAGGGGGGTAAAAAGGCCCATTCTCATCCCAACTCCCCAAAGGTTTTCTTTGCAATAATCCCCAACTTGATTTCAATATTTCTCGCATCACTTCATGTGCGAATCTTGAAAAATCTGGGGTTTTTTCTGAGGTTTCACCGGGTGGGGAAGGTGGGTTGACTTCCCTGGGGACGACTTAATTTTGCGTTTAACACACGCTTCAAGCACCCACCTCCCTTCAAAAATTACATCACCCCCCGATTTTACTATCTCGGGGGTTTTCCCGATTTATAATGAAGTTGGTACAAGATAAAATTTTTTTCAAGATTTAAAAAAACTTTTTAAAAATCATATTATGTAGAGGTAAATTATAAAAAGAAGTTTTCCCTCTGATACTCAAAAAATATTTCTTTTTACGCGAAAACCAATTTTCTTACAAGTAATGCCTAATCTGTTCTTGTACATTTTAAATATTTTGGGGTTCAATGGATTTTATTCTTGTAAATTTTAAAAATTCTGAGAGTAGAGGGGGAGGGGGGTTCACTGCTCTTTAAAAACACGATGGGGATTTGGGGAAAATGGAAGGATGGACATGTTTGGAGAAAGAAAATTTTGTAGGTACAATTCAGCCCGGGGAAACAAAAAGTAGTCATTGGAGTATGTAAAACCCACACAGAACTGGGGGAGGCCAAGAGAGGAGTACGAAGAAAACAACGGGTGATGGGGGCCCTGCTGGGGGGCAAAAAGAGCTCCCGGCAGAGCAAAGTTAGGTAATGGGGGGGATTTCAACCACAGGGGATCGGGGAAAATGGACCCACAGGGGGGCCCTGAAACGGGAGAGCCAAGATGAGGATGGGGGATTGAAAACTCATGCATCAACATGTCGGGGACAAAACCCAGGGGGAGGGGGGGATGACCCCGCAAGACTGATCTTGTGTTCACCCTGCAGTTCAGACTTTGGGACATCACTTAGAGGGCCCCCCTTGGAGCTAGCGATCTGTGGTTCTGATTTTTGACTATATAGTGGTTCAAGGGGAGAAGGTAACGGAAGAGGGGACAGGCCCCAAACTAAAAAAGGGGGGACTAACAGGGTATGAGAAACTTCTGAGGAGGTTCAGTGGGACAGGAAATGGTGGGGAAAATCGTAAACGAGATGAGGGGTTTTGTGGCAAAAAAGTGCAAGGAGGCAGGGAAAGTTTGTTCCAAGGGGAAAGGAAAAATAGGGCCCCAAAAAGAGTCCTTGGTTTCCCCGAAGGTGTGGGAGGCAAAAATAAGTGCAACAGAGAATGGAAAAGGTACAGGAGGATAGGACCCAGGAAAAAAAGGGAGATTATAGAAGAGCCAAAAAAGAGTATGCACAGAAAAGGGGGGAAAAGGCCCCCACGACAGTATGAAAACGACATAGATCGAAATAAATTGCCCCGAAACTGCGATACCCATGGGGGAAGAAACAGTCAAGGACCGGGTGATAAGGTGAGGGGAAAAAAGGTGGAGAACCCCAAAAGAAACGATCAAGAGGTTGTGAGGAGCTCAACACGAGTTTTAAAAGGAAGTATTAAGTAGAGACGGGAAAGGGGGACTCGGGGGGGCAGCCCAAGGGGGACCCAAAGGGAAAATCACAACAAGTTTTGGACAAATACTAAGATAGGAGGGGGTGAAGAAACGCAAAGGGACATCGATCCCTAAAAGGAAAGGGGACCAGCAACTTTCCCCCAGGGGCCCTTTTGAGAGGGAGCAGAATGTTGTGTGTCCACTTCCCACAATTTTCAACACACCCCTGGAAACTGGGCAATCCTGAGGTAGGGAAACGGCAAATGTGTTCCCATTTTTAAAAAAGGAGACAGAAAAGAGGCACTAAACTATGACCTGTGTCATTGACGTGTAAGTATGAAAAAATTATGGAGAAGATTATCAGGAGGGAGTGGTGGAGCACCGGAACGGAACAGGAGTAAAAACCCCAACCAGCACGGATTCACGGAAGGCAATCCTGTGTCAAAACCTTCGGGGATTTTATGATAAAATAAAGAAAAGACAAGAGGAGAGGGGTGGGTTGTTTGCTCTTCTTGGCTGAAAGAAGGTTTGACACAGTTCCTCACAAGGAAGGCAGAAGCAGGCTCGGCGCTATAACG